TTCTTTTCACAAAAGATTGCATTGTCATCAGTTTCTAAGCTATCCTGAAAGTTTCAGCTTGCTAGCTAGTCGGGAAGTGAGCAAAATTTGAGTTTCAAAATTTGATCCGGACAAACAAACAGACAAGAAAGTGAGTTCATAAAAACATGGTAATAAAATCTGAAGAAAAAATACCTTACAATTTCATGTGTTAAATCCTTTCTTTTTTGTTATTTTTTTACAGTGGTACCTACTATATAAATACTCAAGGCCACGCAGAAGTCGGAAAAACCCTCGTTCAACTCACGGGAAACTTGGCACGTTGCGGAAAGGATCTCGAAAGTCTCAATTGCTCGAACACTTTGGCCTTTTCCATTTGTGTGGCACACGGAAGATACATTTCGAGTGTGACGAGTCCCAAGCTGTAGATGTCAGACTGAAGAAGAAAAAAAAGAAAGAAAGATGAATACAACGCTTCAAAAGAAATTTCTCACGACTTTCACTTTCAACAATTACATTCAACAGGCAATTTTTTAAAATTTGTTTCAAGAATTTCTATACATTTCCAAGACTTCTCCATTACCCTGAAATAAAAAAGATGATGTTTAGAAAATAAAGTGAAGAATGTAAGATTCTTGCAATGGATGAAAAAATTCAAATCAATTCCATTCGAGTCGTACAATTAATCAAGAAATTTTTCATAACGCTTTCATCATGTAAATACGCAAAATTCAAGTTTGTCGAAACATCGAGAACAATAAGTAAATATTGCAATATTTAAGGCTGCCATATGAAGAAAATATTTGAATCATGTCGGTTTTTGTTTATTAAAATAAATAAATAACGGGCGATTTTTTGCCTTTGCTTTTTTCATCATTCTTTCTTCAATTTCTTCAAAACTGAAATTCGGCTGAAGCACTATTTTGTCTCATTTTAAATCTGCTTTCGTTTTGTGCAAAAGTTTCTAGACAAATTTACTTGAGCACGCTATTGATGATGAAAAATTGCAAATAAATTCTACATTCAAAAATCTTCCCTCCTCGCTTATATGGATTCAAAAAGCAGAAATTAATTTTTTAAAAAAGCCAGAGTTATCCCAAATAAATTTCTGAAAACGAGTTTTTCTGAAAAATTTTCTGGACAAATGCTCGACCTGAGCACACTATGAATCGTAGCTAACTTCTACATTAAAACCCCTTTCTTCCTCGCTTATGATCATTTTTGACAAGGCCAAAATGAATTTTAAAAAACTTCCATTTTTGAACACGTCATTTTCCGAAAAGTTTTCCTGACAACTGAAAATCAAAACAGAACCTGAGCTCACTATTAATAATCGCAGATAAATCCCAAAGCTAAAAATCTAACCTCCTGACAAAGTCCATCACATTTTCTTTCATAGTCAGAAAACCTCCAAATAAATTTTTGAAAACACAGCAGTATAGAATAGTAAAAAAAAAATTAAGGGACACCTTTGCTGAACAGGATTTTCCCTTGAGCTGCTCAGGGTCCGCATAAACAGGGGTTCCGGCGTCTCCGGAATTCACTGCTGCTTCAGAACCTCTGACGAAACCGTCCTTGTTTTCTTCTCCGTCTTCTTCTTCTTCATCACTGCTCAGGTCCAACAACTTGATCTTCTTGAGAGAGACCAAAGAACAACCGGCTTCTTTCCCGAAACTCGTTCCCAGCTCCTTGGCGACTCCGAAATCCCCGATTTTCACCACGTCTCCAACCATGA